CTAGTAAAAAAAGGTACATCTACTATTGAGAAAACTGGGAACTACAGAACATAGTAGGTTCGTAGACTTCATACTACCCAAGAAAACTACAGACTTGGATTTTTCAGAGACTATTAAGCTCCTATCGGAACTATTCGGGCCTAACACAACCTTGTTCCACAAACATTGGAAATGCCTGAACACAGTCAAACTCAAAGACAACCAGCAAGATTTTCTAACGTTTGCAGCATCGGTAAACCAGCTCTCTAATGATTTTAAACTAGCCGAACTGACCGCCGATGATTTCAAGTGCTTAATTTTCGCACATGGTCTAGTATCAGCAGAAGACGCCGAAGTCAGACGACAGGTACTGACCAAGCTTGAGAACGAACAAAGATTGACTCTCCAAAAACTGGCAGAGGACTGTCAAAGAGTAATATCTGTAAAGTGTGACTCAAAACACTATCGAGGAATCAGGTGTGGCTCAGATTAATAAAATCAGAAGCAAGTCTACCTCCTATTCCCCTCAAAAAGACAAAAGGCAAATCTCATGTCCTAAATTCCGCAGTAACCAAAACCCAAATAGGTTAAAGAAACCACCCGGACTACATTACCATTGTGGTAAATGGCATTGGATGAAATTCTGTCTAGTTAAGAAAAAAAATATTGCAAAAATTGCAATAAAAGTGGGCATACTTTAACTCGGTGCTGGTACGCCAACAGAACGAGAAAACCCAAAAATAAAATTAGGCAAGCTTAATCTGACAATAGTTGTCGATAGGAATTTAAGGAAATATGTAACTGTGGATATTTTCAATAATTCCATTAAATTCCAGCTTGACTCGGGTTCCGATCTTTCAACCATTAACTGGCGTACTTGGCGAAAATTAAACAAGCCGACCTTATTAAAAACGGATAAAACAGCAAAATCCGTAACTGGCGAAAAAAGATTAACATTTTAGGCGAGGTAATACTTACAGTAACACTAAATGGAGTTACCAAAAAGCTCAAAGCCTACGTATTGAAAACTTCAGATAACTGATTTGGAACAGATTGGATAGAAAAATTCAATCTTTAGGATTGCCCAATGAGTACATTTTGTCGCAAGATACAAAGTACAACGTCCAATTTGGTAAATCTCAAAAATGAACTCAAACAACAATTTCCCCAGGTTTTTTCTGGCGGCCTTGGGAAATGTACTAAAATGAAAGCTAAGTTCAAGGTGAAGGACGATGCACAACCAGTATTCAAAAGGAAACGGAATGTCCCTTTCGCTGCTCTAGAGCAAAACAACAAAGAGTTAGACTCGAACAAGCAGGTATTCTGTCAAAAACAGATTTCTGCGAGTGGGCAGCACCTACAGTCTACGTAAAAAAAAAGTCCAAGCAAATACGAGTATGCGAAGATTTTTCCACAGGGTTAAACGATGCCTTGCAAGATCACCAATATCCTCTCCCAAGCCCTGAAGAAATTTTCAATAAACTCAATGGTGGAAAATTTTTTTCTAAAATCGACCTCTCGGACGCATACCTTCAGATAGAGGTGGAAGAAGAAAGTTCCAAATTGCTCTGCATAAACACCCATAGAGGGTTGTCCAAATACAACAGACTGGCTTAAGGAGCAAAGGTTGCACCTGCAATTTTTCAGCAGGTCATGGACGCCATGCTGGGCGACCTTGACTACGCAACAGCCTATTTGGATGATATACTGGTTACTAGTAAAACTACGGCAGAGCACCGGAACCATATAATAAACATATTTGAAGAGATACAAGAATACGGATTTAAGGTTAAGGAGGCAAAGTGTGACTTTTTCTTACCAGAGATTAAATACGTAGGTCACATCATAAATAAAAACGGTCGTCGGCCGGATCCAGAAAGAGCCAACGCGATCAGAAACATGCTGGCCCCAGATAGCGTTCAAGCGTTACAAAGCTTCCTCGGCCTAGCTAACTTTTACCAAAGGTTCATTAAGAATATGCAAAATTTGAGAGGGCCTCTCAACCAACTCTTAAAAAAGGACAAACCATGGTCATGGACCCTGGAATGACAAGACGCGTTCAAGAAAATCAAGAAAACTCTTATTTCGGACCTCTCCCTCACCCACTATGACCCTAGTCACGACATCATAGTCGCAAGTGATGCAAGCTCGTACGGCATCGGTGCTTGCATTCTACATAAACTGCCAGATGGTTCACGAAAAGCTGTGGTTCACGCATCAAGATCTCTACTTCCAGCTGAGAAACAATATTCCCAAATAGAGAAAGAGGCTCTAGGGTTAATATTCGCTGTGACAAAGTTTCACATGGGAGACGGTTCATACTACAGACAGACCATAAAGCTCTAATTACAATTTTTGGTTCTAAAAAAGGTCTGCCAGTCTATACTGCAAATAGACTACTTCGTTGGGGAACGATTCTCTTAAACTACAATTTCAAGACAGAGTTCCTAACATCTAAAAATATTTGCCATGCAGACAGTTTATCGCGACACATTCCAAAAAATACAGAAGTCTTTGAAGACTCCATCATTGCTACTCTAAGGACAAATTGTGAAATCAAAAACATGATCGCGAGTACCATAAGAGAGCTCGCAGTTACTTTGGCCGACATATAAAGGGAGTCTCGAGAGGATGAATTCATTCAATCCATAAAAAGCAAAATTCGCAATAAAGATCCCAATGTGCCTGAAGTTTTCTCCCTCTGCGATGATGTCCTACTATACAATGACTGCGTAGTGATTCCAAACAGCCTTCAAAGAAAAATCCTCAGGGATTTTCACATGGGACATCCGGGGAAGAACCGTACGAAAAGCCTCATGCGCTGCTATGTTTATTGGCCAAACATGGACAAGGACATAGACATGATAGAATCATGCAAAGGATTCGCGCTTGCAGCAAAAGCTCCAACCACGACGTGCAAACCATGGCCAAACACAGGCCATCCATGGCAAAGAATTCATATCGATTTTGCTGGGCCTATAGACAATATGTACTACCTCATTGTTGTGGATAGCCACTCAAAATGGCCTGAGGTCCTACAATGCAAAAGACCAACCACAAACTGCACGATCAGATTTCTTCACGAGCTATTCGCGCGTTTTGGCGTGGTAGATTGTGTAGTTACAGATAATGGCACTCAATTCACATCAAGTGAATTTAGAGACTTCTGCAAGTCATATCAGGTGGAACACATTACAACGCCTCAGTACCACCCTAGGTCAAATGGCCAGGTTCGGGGACACTCTAAAAAGGGCTTTAAAAAAGGCACTAGGCACACTGACAGATAGAGCATTGCAACAGTTTCTGCAGGTGTATCGGATAATCTCTAATCCGAACACGCCTATGGAAAGCTCGCCTGCAGAAACAACATTCGCAAGAAAAATCAAGTTTGTCAAGTCTGTCGGCAAGCAAAGTTAAAAAAAACCGTATCGCCTCATAAGAAATATTTCAATCCTGGCGATAAAGTCTTTTTCAAGGCTTACAAAAGCAACATAACATTCTGGGAAGTAAACACCATAAAACAAAGAATTGGCGAACTGGTCTATATTGTCCAAGGACCGAAAAACACTCACAAACGCCACTGAAACCAGCTCAGGAAATGCCGGTTGAAGGAATCAGAGGAATCACTACAAAATAGCTGTGAAAAGCCGATCGACGTAATTTTCGATCACTTCGATCTCAACACGCCCCAAGTCTCTCCTGAAGTGCGACGCTCAGGAAGGAAAAGGAAATTTACTCAACCGCTCGACGTAAATCCCAAGAGAAAAAAGTATTAAAAGTTTTATGTTTTTTTTTCTCCTTTTCAAACAAGAAAGAAAAAAAAAGAGAAAACTCTTGGAAGGTGGGTGTTGTGAGACCATAACATACCTACAACATGGACTCTTCCAGGACCATATAAAGTATGCGATATAATACTCTAGGAGAAGAGGAGGAAAGAGAGAGAGAGAGAGAGTATATTCTAATACCATAGTATCAGCCGCGTACGACTACCAATATTGGACACTAGCACATAGTAAGCTCCGCTTACACTTACACTATCTTTGTAACCTTTTTGTTTAATATATCTTTCTTACCTCTAATCCGTGTTCCGTGTTTCCCTTTCGTGGTCCCAACTTTGGGCCCACATCAGAATCATAATCACGATCCAAATCATCAGACCTACAAATTTGTAGGTCTGATGATTTGGATTGCGATTCCAATGTAATAAATTAATAAATTATAACCATGGGATATTAGTGTTTGAGCCTTTTATATTATGTTCTTACTCTGTCCTGGACATTGAGTTCTACCTGGATTCTATCCTCTTGGGAATTTATGTGTATATATATATATATATATATATATATATATATATATATATATATTGACCAATATATATATATATATATATATATATATATATATATATATATATTGACCAATATATATATATATATATATATATATATATATATATATATATATCATTGACCATCATCCCTTTTCTTGTTTATCAGTGAAAATGTTAAGGACTAGTGTCAAAAATAATTAAAGATTGAGTTGAACCCAATACCAATGCACCAATTATTGCTTTTACCCATTCATTTTACGTATTGGAATTCTTGTTATATTCCAATAAACTAGAATTTTATTTCAAATTAATTTGACTTTTCAACTTTTAACCAATTTTTAAAGCTGAACTTTCATTTTATTTAATAAATTCATTTTTTTTTTATATTTTGAAATTTGTAACAACTTAATGATGCACCAAAATTTGTTTTAATTTCTTCAGGCTGAATATCTTTTACTTCTACTCTCCTGAATTCAAGGAATTTTAACAAATGTTTCAACTTACAGAATAAGAATAGCTGCCTTTGTTCAGGTTTCATTTTGGACTGCCCAAAAAGAACCAAAGAAAATAAGATCCTATCTAAAGCAGTTCTTCCTTGCAAAAAAAGGTTAACAGAGGAAAAATAGTGGGCTTCTTTTCAGGAAACTTTGGTTCTGTGATGATTCCAAAATAGTTATAAATATCTTAATCAATGATTCTTGCAAAAGAAATGGATTTTCCCCAGGAGGGAAGTAAAAAAAAAACTTTTTTTTTTCTCCTTTTCTCCCTCTCTGATTTCTTTTCCAATATTAGATGCTTTTTCTTCCTTGTTTTTCTCTTTCTTTCATTCATTCTTTCTTTCTTTCTTTCTTTCAATTTTTTTTTTAATTCTTTTTTTTTTCTGCTTCAGGTGCCATTTTGTTCTTGTTCTTCATTTTTCTGAGATACTCCCTTCCTACATCATTCTATCATGTGTTCTTTGTTCAAACTTATTCCTTTCTTGCTTTCTTTTATTCTTTACCATTATCATATTTTCTTTGTTCAAACTGTTTTTTCTATCTATCTTTCTTGCTTTCTTTCATTTTCTTTCTCACTTTATCTTTTGTTTGTTTCTTTCTTTATCTATGTTAATCTGAGTCCCAAGAACATGTTTCCTCGATCGCTGCCATTTTAACCTGTTCAAGTCTAGGGTTAACCATTATCTTCCCTAAATATCCACATAAACTGTGCCTATTATTCTGTAACCTTGAATGGTTCTCAGATTTTCTACAGGGTTGACATCAATGTAAAAAAAATTATATTCTCTTTTTTCATACTGCTTTTCCTATTTGTCTTTCTTTCATTTTTTATCCTTTACAATTTTTCTTTCTTTCTTACTCTTTTATTACTTCTTCTTTGTTTATTCTTTTTTTCTGTGAATTTCTTCTCTCATTTATTTTTCCAAGTTCTTTCATTCATTCTTTCTTTTTTAAGTATCTCCTTTTTGTTTAATCTTATCTTTTCTTACTTTATATAATTTTCTTTCTCTCTTTATCTTTTACAAGGTCTCTTTTTTCTTTCTTCATCTTTTACAATTTTCCTTTCATTCTCTTTTTATCTTTTACAAGGTCACTTTCTCCTTTTTTTCTTCATCTTTTACAAGTTTTTCTTTCTTCATTTTTTACAACATTCCTTTCTTTTTCTCGTTAACTTTTACAAGGTCTGTTTTTCTTTATTTATTTATTCATCTTTTACAAGATACTTTTCTTTCTCTCTTCATCTTTGAGAAGATCTCTTTATCCTCCCTTTTTTCTTTCTTTCTTCTTTCTTCATCTTTTACAAGTTTCCTTTTTTCTCTTTTTATCTTTTATAAGATCTCTTTTTTCTTTCTTTATCTTTTACAAATTTTCTTTCTTTCTCTCTTTTTATCTTTTACAAGGTCTCTTTTTCTTTATTTATTTATTTCTTCATCATCAACGAGTTTCCTTTCTTTATCTCTTTATTTTTTACAAGGTCTCTTTTTCTTTTTTCTTTCTTTTTTCACTCTACATTTCTTTCTCTCTTTATCTTTTAAATGTCTCTTTTCTTTCTTTCTTCCTTTCTTTCTTTCTTTCTTTCTTTCTTTCTTTCTTTCTTTCTTTCTTGATCTTTTACAAGTTTTCTTTCTTTCTATCCATTACCCCAACTGCATATTCCTCTTGCTTCATGAGGAGAAGACATTTTCAATGCTTCAAAGTTTGGGAACTGCAACTAAATTGATCGATGAAGGATACTTCATCTTTAGCTTGACCTTTCATCCTCTTTTGCCATCCATTCTACGTCTAAACAAAGTAAGATCTCTCCACCATGACTACAGAAGTCCATGTTGCAATTTTTCTACATTATAATTGTCATATAGGAATAAAGTGTCACTGCTGACACTTGTGTTTGAACACGGATCACCAGAGATCAAGCACAGTTGACCTCATCTTGAAATAATTAGATCATGTGATGGGTAAAGGAAAAATATATATATGGGGATTAGTGTCTGACCCAATATTGTTCAAAAGCATTACTATTATTGTATCTGTGATTTACAAAGTCTGCCCTACAGCTATGAACAATCAACTGACAAATAGCTCACTTCAATGATTTTTATTAGTTTCACCACAAGAAATGCTATAACACAGGGGCTTACAGGGAATGAAAGTGAAAGAAAATGAAAAGACTAAGAATGGGGAGGATGGGGGAAAGGAGAAAAATGAAACAGGGTTCAAGAAAATGGCAATTGATATTGCATTTAAATATCTGAAGATTGTAGGGAAGCAAGTAAACGGAAGAGAGTTCCACAGATGAGAAGTGTGAGTAAAGAAACTTAGAGTAAAAGTGGTGGCTGCTTCTGACTAGTTCGGCAGTAAAAGAGTGGGACCTAGTTGCCAATCTAGCCCCACTTTTAAATTCATGTGGTCGGGGCAGTAGGGAAGAAGCTCATCAGAGCAGTCGCCATGAAAATATTTCTAGAAAAAGAGAAGCTATGTTACATCAGTAAGACATTGTATTAGAAATGAAAAATGCATTCGAAATGAGTTTATTATAAAAATGCCTTACAAACGATTTTGCAATGAAAATTCATTGGAAATAATTTTACTATAAAAATGCACTGGAAATGATTTCATTACAAAAATGAATTGGAAATGATTCTACTATAAAAATGCACTGGAAATGAATTCATTATAAAAATGAATTGGAAATGATTTTACTATAAAAATGCACTGGAAATTATTTTACTACAAAAATGCATTGTAAATGATTTTACTATGAAAATGTATTGGAATTACATTTACTATAAAAATGCATTAGCAATGATTTTACTATAAAAATGCAATGGAAATGATTTTACTAGAAAAATGCATTGTAAATGATTTTACTATGAAAATGTATTGGAATTATATTTACTATAAAAATGCATTAGCAATGATTTTACTATAAAAATGCAATGGAAATGATTTTACTATGGAAATGCATTAGCAATGATTTTACTATAAAAATACATGGGAAATAAATTTACTATATAAAAATACACTGGAAATGATTTTACTATAAAATTCATTGGAAATATTTTTACTATGAAATGCATTGGAAAAGATTTTAGTATAAAAATGCATTGGAAATTATTTTACTATGAAAAAGCATTAGAAATGTTTTTAGTAAGAAAATGCATTGGAAATGATTTTACTATTAAAAAGCTTTTGAAATGATTTTACTATAAAAATGTATTGGGAAAGGATTTTGCAATGAAAATGTTTTGAAATCTAATTTTCTGAAAATACTGTTTTAATAAATTTCAACCAAAATATTTTTTTGCATTGAATCAGAAAATTATACATTTTCAAGAAATGAGTAATCTACAAACCTATTGATGAAAACAAACAGATAAAATGGCTGAACATTTTTAGTTAGCTAATAGACAAGTAAACGGAAGGGAGTTCCACAGGTGAGAAGTGTGAGTAAAGAAACTTAGAGTAAAAGTGGCGGCTGCTTCTGACTAGTTCAGCAGTAAAAGAGTGGGACCTAGTTGCCAATCTAGCCTCACTTTTAAATTCATGTGGTCAGGGCAGTAGCGAAGAAGCTCATCAGAGCAGTCGCCATGAAAATATTTCTAGAAAAAGAGAAGCTATGTTACATCAGTAAGACATTGTATTAGAAATGAAAAATGCATTCGAAATGAGTTTATTATAAAAATGCCTTACAAACGATTTTGCAATGAAAATTCATTGGAAATAATTTTACTATAAAAATACACTGGAAATGATTTCATTATAAAAATGCATTGGAAATGATTTTACTATAAAAATGCACTGGAAATGATTTTACTATAAAAATGCACTGGAAATGATTTTACTATGACAAGTTTAATATTGTTATCATCTGTTTCTCATCTCATTATTGAAAAAAATAATTCCAAAGACCATGCAATCAATAAACACAACAATAAAAGTTGCCATTGAGAATAAATGAACGAAGGTTATTTGGGACTTTGAAACTCTGAGAGATCATCCTTGATCAGCACAAAGAGATTATTTTGTGTATCCATATTGCATCAGAGAAAGTTTAGGTTAATAAGTTTAAAGACATTCCAATCCATGCTCGGTCATTCAATGATGAATAGTACTTTTATTATTTTACTAGCAGTAGAGCCCGGCATTGCCTGGGGATGTAACAGTAAGAGATAGATCAAGTATCGAACATCATAAAGACTGAAAAATAAAATTGACAAAGATTATTGTTTAAGGTTGACAGACACACATGTTAGTTTTTTTTTGTTTTTTTTTACGAATTGGTCAAACCCAAACTCAAACAAAAACATTGTTTTCAATTGTCATGAGTCTACTGATTGAATAGAATTTTGTTATAAACAATTGTATTGTAAATAGAATTTTTAAAGCATTCTGAATGTAAAAATAAAGAAAAAAGTGTGCAAGACAATAAGAAACACTACCTGCCAAAAAAAAAAAAAGTTTTGTTGAAATCAGTTTGAAAATGTAGGAAATCTGATCCCATATATAAATGAACACACACACACACACACACACAAACAACCTGGGTTTTATAATAAGTATAACTCGATATGAGTTGTCCCCTTTCATTCTGGCGACAGAATCATGTTTTATCGTGTTTTCCAATTGATTTCGTGCAAAAAACAATTGTGTTTTTTCCAATTTTTGCACTGTCAGAACCACCGCAAGGTAATTTTATGTAGTCCTGTGAAGTTTTGTTGAAATCGGTTGAAAAATGTAGGAAATCCGATCCAATATATAAACGTACAGACACACACACACACACACACACAACCTGGGTTTTACAATAAGTATGATTTTAACATTTCTTTTAATCCAGATTAAAATATATATCATATGAATACATTATCATCAAGTACATTTGCATGACAGTTTTTTTAATGTTTATATAGTAATGGTAAAATTACTTGTCTACCACTGCTTTTGTAAGATCAATGGCTAAATGAGGGTCTTGGCAAAGATCATTCTTCTTTGAACATTGTAGACTGGCTCTACAGAATCACAAGCAAGGAATTGTACCAAATAACAGAAACTACATCACAAGAGGACTACCAACAGAGGCAACAACTAAAATGGATAGTACAGGTAACATGAAGAGAAAATAATTTGGAAAAAATTTTGTTTTGTACTTTCTATAATAATTTATTATTACAGAAAGTACAAAACATAAAAAGTTAGTAATTAATGCTGCTGTCTTTGGCTCAGATGATCGTCTCAATTTGATGTGGCATTGAATGGAACAAGTTCCAGATTTTCTTATTGGGAATTTTTTCCCCATTTTTCTTGGCAGTAATCCCAAAGCTCTTGGAGATATCATGCTTTTCATTGGAGTTCTTGTTTCTTCAGTCCCCACTGTAATGGTTCAATTATATTGAGATCAGGACTTGGTTCTAGTCAGTCTTCCAAACATTGAACATCTTCATCCACAAGAAAACTTTCTATTGCATGTGCTTTTGTGCAAGGAGCATCATCATACTGAAACATTTCTCTATAATAAACTATAATAATTCCTATAAATACTTTCATGGTAATTGTTCGAATGAGTTCTTCACTATGGTACCTAGACTTCTTTTAATTTAAGTGCATAAAGATTTTATCAATTTAAGGTTGAGCTGTCTAAATATATCAACAAGTTCTATGCTAACAATTTCTTTTCTCACACTTCTCGCTTGTGGAACTCCCTTCCAGATGCATAATTTCCAGCCAACTCTGCAACAATTTAAATGCAATGTCAATCGCTAATTACTGTCTCCCTGATTACTCTTTTCTCTTCTTACTCATTATTAATGTTTCTGTTCCTAATTCTTCCACAACCTGTAACCCCTTGTGTCTTAGTGGCTTTACTGCCTTGCATGGAGTGATACCAATTAAAAATATATATATATTAAAGTATGGAGTTAGTAATTAGTGTTGCTGCTTTCACTTGAATAATTGTCTGGAACAAGGTTCAGATTTTCTTATTGGGAATTTTTCCTCCATTTTTCTTGGCAGTAATCCCAAAGCTCTTGGAGATTGCATGGTTTTTTAGTGGAGTTCTTGTTTCTTCAGTTCCCATCACAATGGTTCAAGACTTGGTGCTGGACATTTTCATCCACAAGAAACATTTTTGTTGCATATGATGTGCTGCAAGGAGCATTGTCATGCTGAAGATTTTCTCCATCTTCATCATCTGACAGAAGATTAGACTGTAATAAACTTATATCATTATCACTGTTCAGGTTTCCATTAACTTTTATCAATTTTCTTTTACCATCTCTTTTCATGTAACATCATTACATGTCCACCACCAAATGTTACCGTCTTTGTGGCACATCTTGCACTGTTTCTTTCTCCAACTTGTCTTCTTAGATATTCTCTTGGATTAGAATGTAGCTTTATTTTGCATTCGTCATTAAAAAATACTATTTACTATTTTTCCAGTTTCAATCTTCTATTCCAATGGCCTTTTTGTTGTTATGCATGCATTCAAGTAGTTTTTTATAACACTGTTATGGTCCGGTTCCTTGTACCACAGTGATAGTCCAAGGTAGAACCAATAAAGAAGAACTCGAATACAGGTATGGAATAACACAGATATATTACAAACAGGAATATATACGGAGAAGTAGAAAGTGTTAGTATGAACAATCAGGTTTAGTAGAGAGAACAATGTAGTCTCGACCAGTATCACTATTCCAATGTCTTGCAGTAATTGTCTGAACGCGACGCTGTTTCGGACTACCTCTGACTCGACTCTTGACTCGACTTGAAATGCTGACTCCTTGCCTACTCTTGAGGTGCAGTATTTATTAAGTATGGAATAGTCCATTATTATTATTATGTGTAAGGTC